CGACTCGACGTCGCCCTATCGCCTTGTGTCCTTTGCACTTTGCGAGAGAGAACATCATTGTCCCTTCGGCTCTTCGACTTACCCACGATAGCTTACGGTCTCCGGGGTGAGTTTAACGACTCGCACACGTCGATCTCACCCGTCTCGCTTCGCGACGAGAGGGCAAAAGCCCTTTCTCGCGCGCGGTCATTAGTCCGCCCGACGCGAGATTTGAATCGCAAAAAGCGCGATACGCGCGGCCACGTTGTGTTTTACTCGCGCGACACGTGCGAGCGTTACACGTCGGCGAATTAATCCACGTCGCTGGCAATCCCTAGATTAACCCCTTGAGACCCCCGGGGTTACATGTTTTGCGAAACTCTTGTAAAAAATTGTTTTAATATATTTAGGTCGCAAATATACACGAGGAATGTTCTCTCAAAATTACCACCGCTCGTTTTAATTGTTTAATAAATATGCAAATAAATTATCTTTTTTATCAACACTGGATTTCACAAACATTATTAACTTTAAATTGTACATAAATTATATTATATTGCAAATTTCATTTATTTAATTTATATTAATCATTTAAGTTACATATGAAAAATTTAAATTAAATAGTGAGATTATTTTGAGTTATTTTAGAAATTCATATATTAAATTTAGCTCTGTCTGTAACTCTAATCATTTTTTCCTTTTCCGTTCAACATTCATGATTATAAATCAGAATACGTTAAAAATTGAGTAAAGTAATTTAAAATAGAAATGCATCGGAATGTTTTTATTATAGAAATATGATAACAATAATTTATTTAGAGTTAAATAGTAAAATGCATATATTAATAGCTGATATTTCGCACGCGTATGCAACGCAAACATTAATATTTGAACGTGACTTTAATGAAATGTCGAAGATATTGATTACATTAATAATATTATTCATATTCGTGGAACACGTATTCATATTCACCTCACAGTTTTCATTCGTAGTAAAAACCATAAAAGTTATTCCTGGTCGTAAAGTTCGGTCAACATACCCTGTATATATCGCGTCGTGTAGAGGAAGGAAGAGAAGTCTATCCGATAATTTTAAATGCCGGACGCACGCGCTCGTGCCATACGTGCCCCGGTTCTACGATCAAGTCGGTCTCTCGTCGCTCCGAGAGAGGGGCGAGAGGGAGGAAAGGGAAAGGGGGAGGGGGAGTATTCTCGCGGCGACGTCTTGGGCCACGTCCCGAGAGAAATCTTATCGGATATCTATGCCAAGGTGCCTACCAACGTCTGCTCCTGAATGGATCCCCCGAGTGGCGGCGGCGATGTAGGGCTTCTCGGCTCCTTCCACACGAATCGGCGGAATTCTTCGGGAAGAAGCCCCCTTGCAGAACGTCTCTCCCTCGTCCTTCCCGAAGAAAATCCCGTCGCGACGAAACTACCCCTCTCTTCCCTCCCTGCGCGAGACGCAATCTTAGATTAAGGTACCCTACTCGTCGCGTACATGTGTAGCTTCGCGTCAATTCGAGTTCACACGCGTCGCATGCACAGGGTGTCTCGGAAGTTCCTATTCCCCCCCTGGTCGACGAAAGGTTTCCCCGATATTCAATACTAAATGGATATCTTTTTCCTATCGAAGGATTCTCTCGAGAGAGCGTTTAATCGCCAGCTCCTTTATTAAATCTCTCTCAATTTCATCGACTTGTATACGTATTCAGATTACAACATTCTATGCTATTTTACATGCGTACGCACACGCGAGCGATTGAACGCAGCATCACGACAGACAGATTGCTCGTTACTAGACGCAATTGGTTTTCAAACTAGTTATTAAAGAGTGCGCGCGCGCGCGCGCGCACGTGCATGATTTTCTCTTCGAGCAATTTTAAATTCAGCTTCGCCGGTCGCCCGTAAAAGGGGGTGATTGATTCGAAAAACGTTTCGAAATATTGTCGAAATATATCAACGAATATGGAAATAAACCGGACGTTGGTATGGAAAGTAAATAAAAGCATTGCGACACCGCGATAATTGCGACAATTCCTCGCATGCGCGCAAAATTACCATATCGCGGCAAAACTGTATAATTATCGTCGCGTGATATTTAGACAGTTCCAACGGGAAATATATGGCAGGGGTAATATCCCGCCGATATCCCGCCGATAGCCGATTGGCTATCTCATCGATTCGCGGTATCGCGAAATTTCTCTGTGCGCGAGAGCGCAAATCGAGTTTTCAAATTACTTGCCGCTGGCAGTCGTTATTTCAACGATTTCCTTTAACGTTACGCACGCTAACGGACGATGCACGATTAATTTACTCTTCCGCGAGAGGTTTATGCGCGCAATAAAACAAAAAAAATTAGTGACGGGATAAAAAATTGCAATAGTAAATAAATCACAGAGAAATCCGAAATTCGGGAAAAATTGGATCGATTAAGATTTTATGGAAAACATTTTTTTTAAATCATTAAACTTTCGCGCAGTTAAATATTGTTTCCTATTCCCTACAATTTTTCCGATATACGACTCATCAGAATCAATACAACTTCGGGATGCACGCTTCCCATTTGTATATCCAAATAGTAGTACAAAAATAAATAGAATTATTTTTTAGTTTTCGTACAAGCTCGGTATATTTGGAGAAAAAAAATTTTTTATTTTGCAAAATCCGCAATATTATTCGAAGAACTATTCGCAGAGATGAATATTCTGTTTCAACCTTATGGAAAAAAAAAATTTAATTGAAAAACGCTAGATATATTTTGCCTTTATCCGAGAACGATAATGAATTAAGACATGTAAAACAATTGCGTCTCAAATCGAATATTGAAAATAAAGCGGAAAAGAAATGGGGATTCGACGAATATAAATTTCGTACCCACATTTTTGTCACGACGCAAAAATCTAGCTTTATCTAACTTGACTCGAGCGTTTTCGAGCCGGATGCTGGCTGCAGTACGCAATATCCCAGGACGAGCGATCGCGCCGGGAAAGCACCGTACGGGTTGACGTACGGTCGCTCGGGGTGTTAGGATTCACCGCAGTTAACTACCCGCAGCAATAGCAGGGGCGGAGGGAGAGGGGGGGAGTTAACTCGGCGAAACGGGAAAACGGGGAGGGAGTGATATCCGGTAACGTATGCACCCATCGTCCGGCTTCCTAGCGATGCGTTACCGCCGTTTCTTGCACCCGGTTCGCGCCAGCGTATATCAATGCTCCCTTTGCCCGACAATAATGGTCGTCGAGAAGCCGCCGCCACCCCGCCGATGACCATACCACCGAGTGTGTAGAAATTGAAATCGGTGTAATTCCGGCGAGCTCGGATTTCGATTCGCAGTCACCAAGATGTCTTTTAAAATTGTTTTATTTAAATATAAATATATATATTATTTGGCATATGTTAATTTCTCTTTGTTAAATGATAAAACTATCATTTTGTTGATTTATTTAGTCTCCAAGTATCGAATGAAATTGCTTTTTTTATGCTGGATTTTACGTGTGAAACTTATATTATTGAAAGAAGGATATTGGAAAAATTTCAGTTAAATAGCTTTAATTTATTATATGATATATAATGATACAAATTAAAGATTAATTACGCGATCTCGAAATAAGTGCAGAAGCCATCCGATCGATCCAACTTGTTAACTATTAATGACACGATGTAAAGACCATAATAGACGTTATAGTTTGTAATGGGCTGACTGTAATAAATTTTGATTTTTTCCTTGGCTATTATGCTATCGCGAAAATTCACCTCGTTGCAAATTTCGATCCGCAACGACGCGACGTCGCGACGCGTATACAGCCGCGTGGAAATTGCGAGCGACCGGACATCCCATCGGACACAAGGATATTGAGGTCGCCTACTTTTCGCACGAAACCGCATTTTTATCAGGGTGTCCCCAGGGTGACCTGGACGAAAATATACTCGCTGCCGCGTCGTATTATTCGCCATGTGGTGGCTTCTGGTTATTTCGCTATTTCGTATTTTTCGCAGCATATGTGCAACAGTGCTCTCAGATAAAGAACGAATTTTTAAATTTGATACTTGGAAACTGGAATTAGATATATAAATTAGATATAGAGGATTCCACGCGAGAGATGCACGCTATTGATATCTCATCAGCTTGATCTTCGAGAGATTATGTAGCTGAAATAAAAAATATCCGATTTATTATTATGATTAAATAAATATTTTTCATTAAAAATTCTTAGAGATTGAAGAATTTTGTAGAGATATTTTGGGGAAGTAAATTATTCAAATATTCCAAAAATGGATCGATAAATGATGGCTGAAAAAAATAAAACATTTTAATTTCGAATTAACTGTATAATTTGAGCTATTCAAAAACTCAAGTTAGATTGATAAATGACTGTTATCTATCCAGATAATTATTAAACTATATAATACTATTGATCTTACGTTCAGGATTTTAAATAAAAATTTTTCAATGGGAGATTCATTTTATCGGAAGCCGAAAGTTACGAATTATCGCTACTGATATATATATATATATATATATATATATATATATATATATATTTCTACTATAATTCGGTAAAGCTACAGTTTACCGTTGTGGAAGCACAATTATCTTCCTGATCAACTCATTTAACGATTAAATATTAAACGATTAAATATCGAACTACAATCGGTCTGGCCGCAATTAACGAATTAATTAGACCGTGCAACATTTGGTCCAGTTTCTGATACACTTTCTCGCGCTTTTAATTAATTTCAGTCTCTTCCAACTCTGCGCGCTCGTTAGCATTAAATGTATCATCGTTATAAATATATCGTTAAATATGTAAAAGTATAAAATCCGATTAACACATATGTGCATTACGCACAAGTTATCTTTGTCGGCGTCTTCGCAGTGCACGATGTGCGCTTGCGGAGCAGTTCGTCGAGACTTCCTGAAGTGTGAAATTGTCACCGAATAAAATTCTCAGATTTTCGCCGACGAGTCGTGAAATACTTTTAAGACAGAAAGAGGGGGGTAAGAGAGGTACCGTGAGGGGGCAGCAAATTCCCGAGTTTAAAGTTTCTTGCAAATCAGGTGCTCCCGCAGTTGGTGGTTGCCGGATTTTCTGGAACGGTCCGCCTACGATCCGGAAGAGCAAGAAAGGAAAGGAGCTGCAAGAAGAAAAGCTGAAAGTTAGAAATAAATGCAAAGAGCAGCCGCTGTTTCTTTTATTCCGCCATTTCGAGGCGCAAGCGAATCACGAGCGATGAGAGAATAAATAAAGAATATGGAATAGAACACAAAACTAACAACAAGTTGTTCAATTTTGATATCTTGCTAAAGCATGTGTGTGTATGTGAGACTAAAAAAATAAAAAAATTATTTATTTTCATTATCAATTAAAATCGTACTTTTATTTATTATACGATGACGATATTTATTATTCGTGTTTCATTAGTACGTATTAATTACAATAAACAATTCAAAAGATTTGATCTCAGAATTTGTAATATTTATGTAGAATATAATAAGTTTGTAGTAAGACCTAATTTAGGAAAAAAAATATATAATCATGAAATTAAATTAATTTTTGATTTTTTATTTCATATTTAAAAATATATAATATTTTCTTTAAAATTAACTTTAGAAGTCGTGGATTCACTCCACATTCTTCTTTCTCTTTTTCTTCGAGAATTATGATTTATTATTATTATTATTATTATTATTTATTTTTATTAATTATTTTTTTTCGTATATTTTAAGTATCGCTTTTGCGGATCGTCCTGCGCGTTTCAAACAATCTCCAACAAGTGTACTCTGAAACTCAAACCGTTCTTAATCTCAGATCACGTCCTGAATCATCTGCAATTTCATAGATCTCGGCGAGTTCGCATGAACAAGGGGCGCGGCATATTTCGGGCCAAGATAAAGTTACGGAGTCATAAAGAGAGCGAGATCGCGGTTTCATTTCGGTCGTGATGGATGCGCGGCTTGTCGCGACTGTTGAATTAAAACGGAGCGAGATAATTTCGCGCGAGGAAAGAAGGAGCATTTCGAAAATATACGTCGGTTCGGCTCGAAGATATTTCGCTTCTCGCGCTTCCGTTATTTAAACAAAAAGAAGAAAACCCTATCCTTTCATTCCCTGCCTCCGGATGTTATGAACGTGCGGATGTACGCGTCTTTTGTTGTGTTATCATTAAACTTGCAATCGCGCACCTTTTCTTCTTGGTCGCTCCCCCTCCTCGTATCTTTCCCCGCACCCATTTCCCCCGTTCGTCTTCGACGCTAAACAGAATAAAAGTGGCGGAAGAAAAGCGGGTAGGGATAAATAGGGCCGAAGAGAGACGCGCCCTGAGATACGGCGTCGCCTTTCACCCTTTCTTCCCTCGCCTTTCCCGTGCTTCCAGGTGGGAAAAAAGGGACGGAAGGAAAAAGAACGATAAAAAAGCGCATGCATTTTTCCGTTGTTCCTGTTCCTTCGCGGTTGCGAGGCGGCGAATTGAGCGACGCGGAGGAAAGAGGAAAGGAAGCAATACGGCGGTGAATGCGAACGAGACGCATCGTTGCCCTTTTCCTACTTTGCTACTCTATTTATCTAGGATTCCCTTTTCTTTTCCTTTACTCTTTTCGAGTATTTTATCCGCCTTCTCTTTTCTCTTTTTGCAATCTTCATATTCGAATATTTCCTTCTCTCTTTTCTTTCGTTTGAATCTCTTTTCTTCGTACAATGGCAATGCGTTGTATTAATGTGTAACATATTCTGTTGAAATACAGAACTCACAATACGTGCAATAGATGACGATAAAAAATATTTTAAAAGAAACTTGCTTCTGAAAAATTCCCCTTTAGATTTAAATTTTTTTTTCTCTGAATCACATTCATTTTGTATCTAGTTTGAAAAAATTAAATACTTTACGCATTCGTTTTGCATATACGTCATAGATTAATTATTAATTATAAATAGAGCATACTACTTTTTTATTCTTGACAAGTACATCTATTTTTAAAATAATAGAATAATATTGAGAATGTATTATTTGCAGTTTTCACATTTACCTATGATTGAGAAGAATTCATTTATATTCATTTACACTTTGTGTTTCTCTCCTCCATTATTTCGTCTACATTCCTCGAATCATTTGCACGCTTCTTTCTCCTTTTCTCACTCTCTCTCTCCCTTAGCGCGATCTTCAAAGTCTATTCCTCGATTCTCGTTTAATCTCATTCAAATCTTTGCTCGCTACTCGTATTTCTCGCAGTCACCCGGTCGTTTTCCTCGCTCTTGGTTTCGGGCGCCACGTGACGCCGACCGATGCTGTTTGCCCGACTCGTGCATTCGCATTTTCCTCACGGGTCAGCGAGCATTCGATAGTGCCCGTTCGAACTATATCCTCCGATCGGACCGGGCTCGCCCTCTCTTTCTATCAACCAGTCGATTCTCCAGCAGCTACCCCGCTACTCGCGAACGCCACCGACATACCTCGTTCCACTCGACCCACGAGAATTGGAAATCAATTTAGGAAAACGGTAATAAACGGACGCCGGCGTACGGTCCGTGCCCCCGGCGTACGCGGTCCGAATCGCGCCGCTTGCGGGAATCGTGCGGCTTTCGAATGGTCTCTTCCTGTGTTCGTCGACGACTCGGCAAAAACGTTGCTCGCTCTCGATTTCCCTGTAACTTTTCTCCGTCTCTTTGCGCGATATCACTTGCTCGAGATAAAAGCGCGTTCGTGAAATAATTATTTGCGGACGAATCAAAGGAGAATTCGTTCAGTTCAACATCGAGCGAAGCATACTTGTGAATCGTTATGAATAATAAGAAAATCAAGCACGTAACAAGACGACGTCGCTCGAGGAATTAATTGTAATATTTGTCACACTCACGAGGCATCTTTTTATGTTATGAAATTTTAAAAGACCACGAAAAGTAAAAAAGGAAAGGAAAGGAAAAACCGCGCCAGAAAAGATAAAGAAATCTCTAAAAGGATTTAGGATGAAAAAGATTTTACTTGTAACTTATCGACATACTTTATTCAACTCTTATTCGGATTGTCTCTCCTAGGCGCGATACGCGTTACAGGTATTTATACAGTCCTTTGTATAAAGTCCTGTTAAAGCGGCGCGGCATAAAAAGCCGCGGTAGAACGAATTAACGAGTCTGCGAAATCTCACTGAAGACTCATTAACTTGAGCGCATCGCGTACCTTCCGGACGTTAGCTCGGCTCGTTCCGTCAGCCAGGCGGCGGCATGGTATTACGCTTATTTGAATGGCCGCATTTACTCGAGCGTCTCGCGAAATGAGTGAGATACGGCACGCAAGATGTACCGCGCGCAGTACGTTATATGGCCTTAAACCCCGCAAAAAGAGGATTTCCGCGAGAGGAATGAAGGGGGGGGGGGATCCTGTGGCACACTTTCCGCCTTCCTTGCTGCGGACCACTTCGCCGCGTAATCCTCTGAATGGTCGCGATAGTAACCGGAGAATATCCCTTTTACTCGCTTCGTGCGCCTCCGTTTGCACTTTTGAGTAAGGAGAGAATTCTTCGAGCTTGAGAGGAAACTGCTGGAAAGAGCTTTACGGATTGCCGTCGACATTGACTGGGTAAAATATGAATATAATGTCCGGGATATATAATTTGCGTCCTCGCCTTACACGCTCGCTTTTACGTTATCTTTCAACGACATTTTTTGAAAAATCAACTCTGTCCGCGTTTTACCCTTTAATCCAATAATATAATGCAACGGAAAGATGGGAAAAGAATCTTTTGGGATTATCGTTTATCAAAGCCTTGTTTAATATTCTTATTAAAATAATAAATAGAAGTTGTATTCGATAATTTATTCATTTATTCATCATCCATCGAGCATGAATTAAGACCAAATTTTTTAAATGTAAAATTATTTCAATCTCAGCTACTTTTAATTCCTCATTTGTTACTCCCTCGTAAGCACGTGCTTTCTCTTCTTCCTCTCCCTGAATTCTGAAAATACAATCTACCCGTGGAAAGAGGCAGAGCTAATCATACCTCCTCCAGACATCTTCCTTGGTGAATTTGCGCTTCCTGCGGTGGTCTTATGATTCATTTGCAGTTTCCCTTCCGCGCGTTCCATCATCATTTTCCCACCTCCTCGTTTTATCTTTGCATGGCGCGAGAAGGATAAAATTGAAACAAAGCGCGACCGATCTAATTCCATCCCTAACGAAATTTCGCTCGCCTCCCGAGGTAAGATAAACGCAGCGTAAAAGTGCCGCATCGGCTAAGATTCGACAAATTGAAAATCATGGCTCGCGCCGGATAAAGTTCGAAAATACTTGAGCTAACAAGAGATCATCAGGAAACACGCTCCTTAGATTTCTTCGTGTAACAACGAAGCACATTTCGACGCTGACGTTTGTCTTTTCCATCTGGCATGTAAAATATCATGCTAAGAATATTAAATGTGATCTTGTAAGCCGGTTTTTAAATTATTTTAAGTAAAGATTGCCTTCGAAATTTTTTACGTGAGACTAAATTTTGCTCGTTATATTAGTTTTTTAGTTGACGGATAATTTATTGTGTTTACAAATTTCGAGAAATTCATCTTGCATAATCGAGTCTAAGAAATTTATCTTTTTAAATAGTGAATGTCAACAATAGTCAACTAAAGAAACAAGGAAATTGCACAAGAGCGATAAGAGATAAATTGATTTCCTTCCGTTCCATTTTCTTGTCTTCTGGAAACCATCGTTTATTTCTGTCGCTCTCGTCAGCAACGTCGATAATCCGTCGCGTTTGTCTTTAAGGCATAGGCGGTAATTTCACGTCGGAACGGAGTCGATCTATTTCCGGTCGTCTCGCACGTCTCCCACGCGATTTCAACCCTTCGGAGAAGAGTATTTGGCCGGTTGCGGGAATTTCCGGAGAAATTCTTGAATACCGGCAGATCCATATGGCTTTGCGAGAGAGAGTGTGCAAAGAGAAACAGCGAGTCGAGAAAGGGGTGGGAGAGGGGGAGGGAGTCTGAGGTGGAATACGGGGATGCTGGAGAGATCCTCAGGTGGAAAGAGAGGATCTGGAGTACCGAAGTGCCGGAGTGGAGTGGCTTAGAAATATATAGGCTGCTCGGCGTAGAACCGACGGCAATTTTTAAACGCACGAAGGAGATATTTTTTACACGGCATGCATT